ATTGTATAAAGTCTGTGGTCAAACTGAGAATAGATAAAATCTACATAATCTTTCCGAAATCTGTGATTACAGAAGTATAAGTCTTTGACAATAGAATCATAATAGCGTGCAAGCTTATAATTTCAATTTATTATAGTCGAATTTCGACTACCGGGGGACTACTAGTATTTATAAATATATGTCGGGTTCTTACTGCTTTCATCCTTTTTTTTTCCTACTGAAGTTTGAGTATATTTTTAAATTTTTGAACAACTCTTTCATCACATCCAATGTTTTCATTAAAACTTTACATCCAAATAACTCCCTTTGACGAATCCGAATAGGGAAACCACCGTACGTGCTGGAGATTTTGATCTAGATTACTTATGTTTCTACAAAATAGGGATGTCTTTATACGGATTACGAAGACATAAATGCAGGTGCAATCGCATAAAATGACATTTGAATTAAAATTCCACAGCAAATCCGTTGTTGTTATCAACGAGAATCTAAAGAAAACAACAAATTTAATATTACTGGAATATTGTACCGTGATTTTTTTTTTAAAATAAAACCAGACGCAATCTGAATCCTAGCACAATTATCATAAACAGAATAGACAATGAATAAATCACTTCACACCGTCACTTCAGTCGATTTACTGTGTTCAATTTTATTTTCTTATTACATTTAAGAATCAATAAATCAAACGGACTTAAAGGCTTATCTATATGAAACTATAAAAAGAAAATTAAATCATATGATCATTAAGATAAACAAGCAAGACAAAACTGTTTAAAATTCCGTTCGTATCCTGCGTCTCGCCTAGGGGATCATCTGACGAATGCACACAAAGGTCACATTCCCGTCTGCTGCCATTACGGCTCCATAAAACGTTTAAATTGCAAGCAAACGTGCAGACGAGTTAAACAGAAATAAATAAGGCGTGTGCTGGCAGCGGTGTTGCTAGGCCCGCTCAAGGTCTGCTCGTTCGACCCTGGCCCTGCCCCGCGTGCCCCCACCGCACATCTGCATCGCACAAGCTGCAACACACACAAGCCGGGCCCTAAACATAACATCACCCCACCACGCTGCATCAATTTGTTACACGTGTAAGCTTAGAAAAGGGTCCACATTGGTTAGTGTGTCGCACGCATACAGATGATCGTGTGTATTCTTGGTCTTATACACACTGTTGCAAATTTCCTTATACGTGTGCGTAAGTCGGTCCGTGCACGTCTCATTAAATGTGGAATTGCCAGCTTACGTGACATCCGCATTATGCATCTCCTTAATGAAATTGATAAGCTAGAACATTATTGATAAGAACATTATCGACGTTGTCTTGATATTTTCATGATTTCATAGCATTTAGCGATTTAGTTGTGTGTAACTCCTAAATGGATTCTAGCTCGGTACTAGTGGGCGTGGAAATAATGTTTTTGCCACAATGAGTGGGTGTGGGATATGCATACGTAAATTCCGATACAAAACCAAATCATAGCGTATGCAAACTAGTTATGACGAATTTCACATTGAGGAAACAGTTGAACGAGTTATGGTTGGAGGCCAGAGAACCTTGCATAATATAACCGAATATGAAGATATTATTATAGGGCACGGGACCGTTTTGAGCTTCGTTTGAGTTTTGGACTACGTGTCTCAAGATATTGGTGTCTATTTGCTACAGTTACAACATAGTAGCAGGTTGGGAAAGAGCTTGCCTACCCTTCTATCTCCATAAAAAATACATAAGTGTATAGTAGTGTATCGTCACCGCATTATTCTACTTAAATTTGACGCGAAAAGACAATACGTTGCAATTCGGAAGTTAGGATAGCCGTCAATGTAGTTGAAACCTTACGTCTATAATATATCGATGAAAGAATTTAAGTTTACGCTTCAGTTTTTGACTGTGTGACCTAGTATATCACCACCTCTTCCCGTGAGTATCGAATAATGCAACTAATGGATTTGTCACATAATGGGCAGTAGCGTTCTTGAGTTTTGTTTAGATGGGTGGACGAGCTCAAAGCCCACCTGGTATTAAGTGATAACCGGATGTTTTGCCCTTGTAGGCAGACGAGCATACAGCCCCCCCTGATGGTGAGTGGTTACCGTCGCCCATGGACTTCAGCAATGCCAGGGGCAGAGCCAAGCCGCTGCCTACCAATCTACAACGTAAATGCCGCCATCCATCTCGAGACACGAGTCTATAACATGGTCTCAGTTTTAACGTAACGTTCTTGACTATTATACCAACTCACTATCGTTGCAAGCCAACTAGGTAGGGCGTATTTTAAACCCGCACCCCTAGATACCTTCATCCTGTCAATTTCTGCCGCAACCCCGCGACACAGTCATGTGTATTGCGTTCCAGTTCGAAGGGTAGCATAACCGTTATACTGTACAATAATAGTGTAGGTCGTGAACTTGTTGATGCATATTATAAAAGAAAATCCAAAAAAATATTATCCTGTAAACGTGTCCGATACAAGAGCAAATTCATATATTATAGAATGTTTCGCATCCTTATAATTCAGACGTTTGTCGTCAGCTCAAGGAACAATATAATTACACAAGTCTTACGTAAATGCTAAGTGACTTTAACCAGCGTTTGTCTGTAGGTTGTCCAATCATTGTTGTAAATTGAGAACCACGGAATATATATACTTACATCTGAGATAGTGATTACTACAAACCGGATTTACAGCAAACATGTGGAACAGTCGCACACGGTTTGGCAAGACTAGATGTTTATTTATTAGGATCTCAGGTATCACACTATGAGCACGTGCTACATACATATGCTATGTTTATTTGTTGTTTTATATATTGTTTTTATAGTATGTGGTGCATAAATTTTTATACATGTGTAATAAATATCTCGTGTGCAAACCGGTTTTTTGCTTAATACCTTCAACCTCAGCCTTCATTGCTTCAGCATATATTTATGAATTCCTTACGTGAAGATACAGACAGTCATCAAATTAGTTATCTAGTTAGTCAACCTCTTAATTAAGACGAGTTTTTTTGTACTGATAACTTGTCTCATGCAATTTCATTGTATTTAGGTAGCTCTTATGTATTGCAAAGTTGTAAATAAACAAACGACTCGCCATTTTGTCGGCCATGTTGTCGACAATACGTCAAAGTGACGTATTCGCTCGTCAGCTGATAAGAGCATCGAATGATGAGACCAAAGGAATGTGTATATTAAAGATTTTATTCAATCTACTAATTTAATATACTCAAGCTTTGAGTGGTCGAAAAATATGCATATTTTTTTAAGTTGCTTGTAAATATAGGACGTGTATAATTCTAGTATTACTATGTAAACTATTTCTGAAGGAATTCCAAATTAAATCCGTTTAGAACGGCAAGCACGTTTGTTTTGGAATATGAACCAATGGAATCGTTTTATTGAATTGCACCGCTGAATTTCTGCGATTAGTCACTTGTGTCGATTTGGCGAATTCAAGGAGGAAACAGTAATTTAAGTATCGTTGGTAGTCCAGGTAGTGGAGTGTACAGAAACACAGAGTTTTAAACAGTTTCAGTGAGGCTTTTTACTGTTCGGACAACGACAAAATGTCGGAGACGTACGTATTACATTGGTTTATTGTTATTCGGTTTTGCGGACACAGAGTTCAAGGCGAAACAGGCGTGTGAGCATGTGGGAGGCCCTCATACAAATTTTAATGTAATTCGATTAGAATGTCCTTACGAACCGTATTCGACATTTTGTATCTGAAATTCCCAATTATTTGTAGTACACATACATTATGTTAAGTTTATTACTTCTGATCGGTGCGACCATGAATAATGACCATGAAAAATCAATTATTGGACACGAAGCACGAGGTTATGAAGGAAATTGACAGGCTGTTTGTTAAAACAGTTCTCGTTGGTCAGTCTTTGTGTTTTTGTTGCAGAGTTGCTTCCTTAATTATTTACATAGGAGGTTTGTACTAATATGCTCAAACGGACGTTGTTGAAAAAAAGAATAATCATTTAGAGAAGTGACTTTCATTAAAATCTCCATTTGTATCTCTGTCGAATTCAATTATTACACGCCCTTAAATTCATAACGATTCCCTGTGCTACATTAAAACAACGAACAATGTTCAATAAAGCAGTAAAAAAATCAAATACTCTGAGACGTGAATTATTACTGGGAAGTTCCAGTTTTTGTTCTACGGTAAATAAAAAATGAAAACCGGCCTTAAATAAGAAAAACAAACTAAAAAGTACCGACATTTTACCAGGTATATAATGGCAAAATGGCGCAGGGTGTGACATCTAAAATTACGGTTTTAATTCATAATTAAGATCGAAAAGCAGTATTTATCAATAACATACGAACAAGAATCTTCTCATTTCTTTTATTTATTTTTGTTTTAATATTGTCTGCGGATTGCGTTGCTGATTCGAAGTTTTGTCATATTATTATCGGATATTATGACGTCGTTTAAGCCGGTGAGTTGTTCGAGCTCAAGCGCCCGATCACCTTGAACTTGAGAGTTCTATAACATTTTTTTGCTTGCTGTCCGAATCAAGAATATTTTAACCCTCAGCAGTATGGTCGGTGCCCTTGACGGGAACCAGAATCAAAATTACTCTACGAAAAATTTCAATCCCAATTTTTTTATAAGAGTTTACAGTACAATTATTACATTACAAACAAGTTTATTTATTTATAAATAAAACGTAACGAGCATGATAGATTTTAAAACGCGTATTTGGCAAATTGTTGTCGACACGTGCCGGCGTTCGATATGTGTAATACCCGCTCATACAAATAAAAACGTAATACAAATGTATGACTTGTGCTATTATTGTGAATATATATTTTTATAAATTTATCAAGATCTGACTTGTTTGCGTTGTTACATTAGGTATATTTTTCCGTTGTTTTTTCTTGTCATGATTTTTAAACTTATTATATTTATTACATTATGTAATTTTTGTATTGATCGATTAAATTACGAGAGAGAAAGGAAGAAGTAAAATATTGATACTGGAAATGTCTGTTCAAAAATAATATTTCAATCACACGTAGTCTTGAATAAAATTGAGATTTTCGATTAAGTAGTCTTCTTTAACTAAATAAACTCTTAGAATCCCTGATGACAAAATTATGTATCATTGCTTACTTATTTATGTGGCAGCGGAATGACGTAGGTACTTAAGTAAAAAAATATATCTGTTCAAATCCACTTACTTTTGCGCGTGTTGTTCTGATTGTAAAGTGGACACGTAGTTGTCGTGGCACAGCCGGAGGAACTTCGTAATGTTCAGAGCTCGTCACATCTGAGAACAATATCGCGGTGTGACCATCGCATCGCCTTGCACCGCCATTTACAACGGTTCACCTGAAATCATCGCGATTTGAGCGCGACCGTCATCGATTGGTTCACGCAATAATCTGCTACCGACTACCGCGTCGCTGTGATTATAGTACTTTAATAGGTATTTATTAGGTGAGCCGCTGGAACGCGTGTAGTTCAGGCGATGCGGTGTGTGGCGCGGTCGTCGGTGAGGAACTGACGGTGAGGTGGACGCCTGTCGCCGGCCGCTCCTGCATTGCGGCGCGCAGCCGCACTCGCGCGCGCATGACCTTGGCATTGAACTTGGCAATGGGCCGGCGCGGCGCGGCACGGGACGCGGGGCTAGTGATGCACCGGCAGCTGCATCGCCCCTCTCCCGCCCGCCTTCCTGTCCGGGCCCATTTCCACTCCCTATTTATGTACGTGAACGATAAATCCGCCATGTTCTCCAGGAATACTCCTTCCTTTATTACAGAAACTACTTTGCAATAAGTCTCCATAAATTCCATTAGTACTGATATCCCATGATTGTATTATAAACATATTGTGATTTCCCAAATTTGGTTTCAAGATTTCCTGTTTGTAACACAAATTAAGGCTTATAAAGTAATTGAAACAAGACTTTTTTTTTATATTTCTGTATTTCAAATTTCTGTTAGTCAAATTCATTTTGATAATAACCCAGGGGCTGATGACTGGGCGTTTTGCTCGAGGCAGATCTGATGTAACACCGGCTCACAAAAACTAGTCGCTCGACTCTTGAGAATTTCGTTGCCAACCGACATGTTCGCCATCAGTAGCCATTTATCCTTTGATAACATTTATAATACTTAACCTATTAGTAAATCTCGAAAATTATTTAATCACTAGTAGTACCTACGAATCTAGAAACTCTTAGACATCAATGAATAAAAGTGAATTCCATGAATTTTTTGTTGAATTAACAAATAGTATTAACCCAAAATACTATGTTTATTAACTGCTCTAAACACATTTCGTGGATATTAATTCAGAAATAAACAGTTCGGCGAAGCGTAATACGTTTCTACGTAACAAAATCAGTAATCAAAAAGATGTGGGCGATGTGGCATCTTCCTACACGTGTCAGGCTGTGGGAGGCGGGAGACGAGAGGGGGATCTGATCGGGGAGTTAAGTTTGAAGATCGATGTGAATGCGCGCGCAGTTGTCCCTCGGAACCTGCGTAGGTTCTAGTGCTAAACTCCGTCCGGGCTTAGCCACTAATTACTCATTTAACACTAGTTTCGACATAATATTTATGTTTTTTTTTAAAGCTTAGATGGGTGGACGAGCTCACAGCCCACCTGGTGTTAACTGGTTACTGGAGTCCATAGACATCTATAACGTAACTGCGCCACTCATCTTGAGATATACGTTCTAAGGTCTCAGTATAGTTACAACGGCTATCCCACCCTTCAAACCGAAACGCATTACTGTTTCACGGCAGAAATAGGCGTTGTGGTACCTACCCGTGCGGACTCACAAGAGTTCCTACCACCAGTAAATAAAATAAAATTATGTTCACTTTATGAATTGTTGAAGTGAAGTAAGAACTTGTTCGATTGTTCGAAGTTTGTTTGAGTTCGACTCACGCTTCCATAACAAAAGTTAACAATACCCATAATTAATTAGGTAACGATTAAGAACGGTTTACATTGGCTACGCTTTTATGTAGAATGCTTGAAAAAAAAAACTTTTTTTTTTTTCAGATTTAAATCCGTTACATATTTAGTCTACTGCAAAAACTGAAATACGGAAATATTAGGAAGGAAAGGATTACGTACCAAAATAGGAATTATATTTTCGGCACATCGTCGCATAGCCGGGGAGAAGGGTGAGCGATATTTGCGTCGTCCCCGCAATGTTTTTCTTTCGTTTTACATTCCTCAAACTTGGCAGTAGGTCTACCTGACAAACCAGTTCGCATATCTGGACGTCTCGACGGATAGACTCGCGCTTTAGGCTTTTTAATCAAGCTATCTCACTGATTGCCCTTGAGATGTTTCCATAAATTTATTTCGATTGTTTGGCGAACGTTTGGAAACGAGTTTGTTTATAATAAAGGATTTCGAAGTTTAGGTTAGTTTTTGAAAATCGTTAAATATTTCAAATAATTTTACAGGAAAAACTTGATTTATGGCAACGAAAAGAGGACGGCGATCCAAAAAAAACGTCTACTCTAGTATTAGAGTTGCGAAAAAAATATATTTGCCGTGGCTGTGGGGCGTAATGGCTAGAAAAAATGCACTATTAACTTTCCCCAGTAAAAAGGTAATCTACTCGCTTGGATCTTTCATAGACGATAATAATATAAAATTGTAGTTCCTACTAACTGTTCAATGCAAAAATTGTAAAACTAAATAGGTAGGTTCATGCCTGTAAATGTAATTAATGTATAAATGTCTTAGCATTATTATGTTGATACCTCCACTACCCGATGTTGGCAAAGTTGTACTTAAATCTAAGTAGCAAAAGCCAGAAAGAAAGAATGCAGGCTAACTTGCTAGCAGCTAGAAAAGACGATACTGCGGTATTTTAGACTGTAACTGTGTCTTTTCGCTCCTGGAAGGCTTGAAAATGATTTGCTCAAAGAGACGCACTAATGAGCTTACTGGATGATGGCAGCATTAAACTGAATTGTTAATCTAGTTTATTCTTGTGCTTTAACACCGAAAGCGAACATTTTTAAGGACCAAACAAAACATTTCATTTATAAACTGTTGATGTATTCCAATTCTTTTTTTGCGTCCCGGGGCACAGAATTTCCTTTCAAATGTCAAAGGTCGAGTATAAAATAAGCCGCTTATAAATAAGGTTGCCAACTAAATGTTGTTTATATTATTGTAGCATATTTTCTGTGAGAATATTTGAATCTTTGGTTATTACGGCCGAGATAGGAATATACAATTAAATGAATCAAGATTTTTGGTAATGGTTGAATTTATTTTACTACCAACTAAGAAGTTTAGAAAGTTTTCGTAATTACTAGGTGCAAAATGATTTTTAAATTTACAGAGGTGCATACCTATACTTTACAAGCCAAGGGATGTGTGTTTAATAAAACTAGTGTCCTGCCCAATGATTGGAATTCAATCATAGTCATTGACACTTCAAGATTAAGATTAATTTATGTATTCCATTTTGTCTTTGGTTAGTGTTAGAAAAATATTATTTAAAAAAAAAACAAATCAAGTGATGTTGAAAACTGTAACTAAACGAAACAAAATCGGTTCACAAACATTGTGCATCTGTCTTTTTGGAATAATAAAAACAGACTGTTTAAAAGGATAATAATATTGTTACTCGCCAGCTACTAGAGAAAAAAAAAACAAATCGGTTGTCTGTAAAGTCGGTTTACTGACCATAGTTGAACGTGACAACGTCATAAGAAAATACTGATGGAATAGTTTCATTTTTCAAAAGAAAATTTTAATTTTATTTGTTTGATAAATATTTTGTATGGACAATTGACACCACATTCACTTTTCACTGAACTTCATACTTGACGAAAACATGTAAATGTATTATTGTATAGCAGCTGTCCACGCGGATGCATCGCTCACTCAAGTAGGAGAGAGACAAATGTCGAATGCTGCCGAACGCGGAGGCCGATGTTACTCTAACGAATAATTTCAGGAAATAATTAAAAAAATTCGATTTTATTATGATGTCTTGAAGACAGTTAGACGGGGAGTTACTTCTTTAAAAAAGAAAATACAACGGTTTATGAAAAATTTATAATGTAAGTCTTTGTTTTACAAGGGTTAGGTAACAAGGACGGAGAAAAACTTTGAAATTGAAAGACTACTTAATTTTTTTCTCCTTTTTAAAAAATATGACGTCTTCGAAAAAAAAAAAGCATTTGACAGCCCTAGCTGTAAGCCTCTTGTTTCGTTCTACATACATTTTGTATTTCATTTATAGAGGCATTGTATTTTGTCTTAGTGAAGTCTTAGTGACTCCAAAAATGTGACATTTCATAGAAAACGAAATTTACTATTTATCGTATTATAATATATTCTATGAAAATGTGATTTTTTTTTTATTGCTATTATAGATGGACGAACTCACAGCCCACCTGGTGTTAAGTGGTTACTGGACTCTCTCTCTCTCTCTCACTCTCTCTCTCTCTTCCCAGCTATTCATTCCACATTGTGCTGGATTCAGCGTCCCTTATTTTTCTGCTCCATTTCGCTCTGTCTTCGACATCATCAGTCAGTGAGCTTAGTCAATACTACCTTGTCTTGAGTCTTTCTGTAGGTATCCGACGAGGGAGGTGGAATATGAAATTAAATCTTTATTACAGAAGTACTGACGTGTATTCAGTTACGTGTTTATTACAGTATTGATTTAATCTAAGGTCAGGCCTTCAGGACTTGTATTACATTACCGACCGCATCATGGCGTAGTCTCGGGGTTGCCATATTCAATATATGTATAACTAACATTGATGTTATTTTAGACTAGTTAAATGACTATGTACTATTTAAATATTCTATATTCATATTTTACATTGGAATGTTAAGTTTCTAGCTTTTCGCTAGAAAAAATAACTGTCGTCTTATTTCTAAGCACAAATCAAGGATGACAAATTGTCTTTTAATGATTAATGTCGATCGATAATGTCTACTGACATAAGAACCTTTAAGGTTCTACTTAATTTAATTTTTACTACTTTTATGTATTTAATTATGTACGGTTTTTGTTTTATTATATTATTATCGACGTTTCAAATACTGTTACAGTATTCGTGGTCACGGTCGACCAAGAATTAATTTAATTTTTAGCAGCGGCATAAAAGCTTCCGATCCTCCCGATGAAAATTGTTCTCTGCCGCCCACGGACTTCGTCAATGCCAGGGGTACCTACACCGACATGGCTATCTACTTTGAAGATTCAAAACTTTGCCTCGTAAGCTAATTTCAGTAACTGCCTTCAGCTAAGTGCGTCACCGTTAACTGCGTCACAGGAATAAGGTGCGGCTCAAGTTCATTTTAGGTTAGTCGAAAACGATGCTAAGAAAATTCAGGGAAAAGTCTACTTTAACTTTAATACAATAAGAAACCCTGTTATAGCACAAAAACGTGATTTTAATTTTTTTAAATGTTCTCGGTTGTCCTTGGCGAAGGAAACTATAACTAAAGTTAAAGTTTTAATTATCTTCACGACTCACAAAGTTGGTTTTCTAATGTTTTTACAAGTCAAAATATTTTAAAACTTAGCTATATAGTGTGATAATTTTGCGCTAAACAAGGCTTTGACGCGTTTTTACCATACAACCTTTTAGGATGTTATATTATGTTCTGACTCCTGCAAACGACGTCACAGCTTAAGGGCGGGGTCGCCTTATCGAAAACTGAAATATCACGATCGTAGCACCAAAGTAACACGACATTATTATTTACAAGTATGGATTAATATGGCCGCAAAATAACAAAAAAAGTACCAATTGTTGCGTTTATTTGTGAATAAACTGTTTTAAAATACTATTTTATGTGTATTGAAATCGGTCTTTA